AGAAGATGTGGAAAAATAATTTCATTGCCATACCATGAATAACCTGCGTACAATTAACATCTGAATTCCAGAGAAAGGGAGTCAAGGTAATTAACTTTTTTGAACCACAAAATTGTTATTGTATGAGGAACATCTGCCAGCATTGAGAGACTTGCACACTTGGGAATGCACTAATAAAAATTATGAAGGAAAGGACTGTGATAAATAACATTTTGTAGTGAATATAGCTCAGGGTTATTTGTGAAATAAAGAGTTTCTCAGCAATCGGGAGTGCCACCAAAGCTTTTTAATCACCTGCATTTTTCTCTGTAGGTCATCAGCTCAATGAGCTCCCTTTCTGAGTACTGCCTGCCTTCCATTCTGCGCACATTATTTGACTGGTATAAAAGGCAAAATGGTATTGAGGATGAATCACATGAATACAGACCAAGAACAAGCAATAAATCAAAAAGGTACATTTCTTTTGTGTAAGGATTGTAGGTTTGGGTTTTTTGTTTGTTTGTTTGTTTTTTAAGAAACAATTCAGAATAAGAGTCTGGGCATCTAGGTCTTCCTGACTCTTCACAAGGATGCCTAGCAGGTGCTGCAGGGCCCCCTTGTCTGTAGCAGGTAAAATATTTGGAGCAGCTAGTCACTTCCAGTCCTCACAGAGTGAAAATTCATACACACTTGCTTATTTCGACATTGGTGGGGATAGGGTATAAAGGGCTCCAGATCACCCTCTTGTCTACTTTCTTCTGTTCTGTCCCCTGCAGTCTACACCAAAAGCAGAAGGCCGGCTGCAGGCCTCGCAGGACATACAGAGGTATTTTAGTCCTCGTCCTAATAACCTTGAGTGCTCAGTGCGCTGTAGTGGGGAGGGCCCTGAGCTAGATGTTAGCGTAGTCCTGGCACTGCCTCTGATTAGCCACGTGAATTTGGGCAGCTCACCACCTCTCCGTACCTGTCTCTTTGTGAACAAAAGAGGGAAGTTAGGTTACACCATCTCGGACTCTTCCTTCCAGCTGAGAATTTTACTTATTCTGTGGTCCCCTCCTCCTGTGGGTTTGAAAAGTACAACCGGCTGCTATACGAGCTCTTCAGCAGCTGTAAAAATTAAGACTCTCATATGGTCCGATTAATGTGTCTCCCCCAAATTTTAAGTAAGTACACATAATTTCATATGTTTGAAATCAACCTAGTACAGGCAAGGCAGTGAATATAAGAAAGTTTAATATAGTTTTTTAAAAATAAGAGATTATTTTAAAAGCAGATTTCTCCACAAATTAATTATACATTTTTGTAATGCTTTTAAAGACAGTAAACTGAAAGTCATCACTCAGAAAAGCGAACGTATACTACTTCTTGGGAGTGGCTTATCCCTCTCATTTTTCTTGACAGTCCTAATGATTTTTTTTTTAAAATACAGACTTCTCTTGAAATTGAAGATCTGTAATTTTACCAAATTATGTTTTATCCGAACTTGTAATCTAGTTGCATAATATGCTTAAGTTTTACACAGGATTCAGTAATTTATTTATCATTTTGTTTGGGGGAGAGATGAATAACTTTTTCATATTGAATAATTCTTTTTAGTTGAAGTAGGAATTTTTTTTGTTGAGATATAACTTACATACCATAAAATTCACCCTTTTGTTATATAATTCAATGTTTTTAGTATATTTGGAGGGTTGTGCAACCATCACCACTATCTAATTCCAGAACA